TTTTTTTTTTTTTTTTAATTTTAGCAATATTGTGTAATTGAGGATAACAAAACAATACGCATAAGGATGGGAGACTCCTTGCTTTTGGGCATTTGACCAATTATAAAGATATAAAAATTTCGAGTTAGAGCTCTTAAACTAAGTGAGTGAGTTGTTGGTCAGCTTGACTCAACTCGTTATAATCAACTAACTAAAGAATATATATATTTTTTTTATATATAATTTTACATGACTTAACTTGTAAATATTGCAAAAGAAGTCGAGTTTGTTTAGTTATCGACTCAAGTTCGACTTGACTAGTTTATTGTATTCACCAAATAAATTATCAACGGCTTAACTTAAATTAATCGCCCCATGTTTCACGGCAAGATAGATTAGTTTCGGCCGGATGCTTGTATTCATTAATCTTGATTAATATATTCAAATTTTCAAAGTTGAGAATTCGTATAAAATGACTTTTGATAATTATTTAATTTTTATAATTTTTAAAACTTTCACCATCATATCATCGTCACATTTTTCTCCAAGGCTTAGAAAGTGGTAGAAATGTGGAAGCTTGTTATATATATATATATATATATTTATTTATTGACTTGTGGGCCTTTATTTACTCGGTCATTGTAAAAATTTTCAAGATAATAATCTATTTATTTATTTATTTAATTTAATTGTGTACGTAGCTAAGTTCAATGATGAAAGGGCATCATAAAGTAGGCTTGCTTTCTAAAATGATATTTAATAATTAATAATTAATAAAATAAAAACTGCCATCAAAAGCATGGAATGGATCTCACCCAACTCGGGGATATATTTTCGGGCCGTGCTACAGTTTTAGCATACATCCCATGCGACTTAAGTTTAAGTAGGCATGAATCCTGGCTGGAAATGCGAAAGATAATAAAATAATGGGAAATACTACGATCTCGTTACGGTACCATCCTGTCGGGTGTTTTAACCATTGGATACACATGTAGTTAGTATAAGATAGATGATCCGACGGTTAAAACACCCGATTAGAAAGTACCGTAACGGACCCATAGCATTCCCCTAAAATAATATATAATAAAATAAAAAATAGAATAAAATAAACAAACCCCATTTTTACAAGAAAAGGCAGCCTGGCATTTTTCTTTTTTTCTTTTTTTTTTTTTTTGGTATTATTTAAATTTTAAAGAAAGGAGGTACAACAGCCTTTTAAGCAGGAACTGTTTTTGTACACATCTGCTAATCAAGATTCTAAAATAACAAATACGGTTAAAAGTTACTATAAAATTCCAAAAAAGAAAAAAAAAAATACGAAAAACATACAAATGGGAAATGGTTGGTTAAAAACCTATGTAGGAAAAAGTAACCGAATAATAACAATAATTTACTAAAAAACCCACTAACAACAACGACAAGAACAAAGATCACAAAAAACAGTTCTGATTTTCTCCTCCCATTTGTTTTTGTTTTTTCTTGATTAATTGACACATTCAATCCATGTTATTAGCCATAATATTATTATTACTGTTGTTGTTGTTGTTCCTGTTCCTCCCACAGCGCGAGTCCCGGGCTGGTCCACTTGGGGCACCTCGGGCTCAGATAACTCCCCACGACCCTAGAGTTAAGAAGCTCCACGAGTGGCGCGTACTTAACGCACCTGGGAGTCTTGTACTGGTTAATCGATGCCCCCTGACTGATCGCGTAATCCATCAGCTTGTCGAACGTCCCACTCTCCACTACCTTGATCTCTAGTGGCCCGATCGCCTCAAACACTCGGTTCTGCCTGTACACCGTGTCCAGCGAGTCCTCCACCGCCAAGCAGCACTCCTCCATCACCGAGGCCGGGATTCCCTCCGACCCTTGCCCGAGCTCCCAGTACAGCACGTAGTGCCCAGGGACAGTGTTCGTGTCCGCGTAGCTCGTGTACTCGGTCAGACTGGCCCCGAAAGGGGCCAGGTGGCCTGCAGCACTCCGCACTGCGTTCTGCAGCTCCACTTCCCCCGTCTTGTCCGTGTCGATGCTCAGCACCACGTTCTTGCGGCACACGAAATTGAACTGCGGGGCGTTGTTCTTGAATCCCGCCACGCGAAGCACGTCCCCGACTCTATACCTGTACAGCCCTGCATTAATCGCAACAAAAAATTCGTAATCGAATCTAATTATTAACTAATTTGTGTGGGATTGGATTGGATTGGATAGGTTACCGGCATAGGTGGTGACGACGAGTTCGTACTCCTGGCCGAGCTGGACGTCGACTAGGTCAATGAGATCGTGCTGGTCCTTCTTGTTGCGGTTGACCGGTAAGAACTCGTAGTAGCACATGGTGGGGATGAGAGTGTAGGCGACTTCGCTAGGCTTGCAGAGCGGGTCGAGATTGACTCCGAAGTAGCACTCGGAGGAGGCGTACATGGTGCAGACGAGGGGGAGGCCGCCGCCCGTGTAGTACTCGAGTGTCGGGATGTACTGGGACATGGTCCCGGTTACAATGACGTCCACGTATTTCGTGTTGGGCCAGATGCGGGTGATAATCCCCTGCCATGACTCATGGCCGCCGCACTCGGCCTCCACGAAGGCGGCGAGATCTGGGTCGGGTTTGAGAACCCGGGCGACGGCTTCCCGGACAGATGGGTCGGTGATGAGTGGGTTGAGAGTCCCGGCACGGATGTCTTGGGCGAGGATGGACCAGTGCTTCTCGAGGAAGCGGATGGCTCGGATGAAGCCCGAGGCGAAGACAGCACCGACACGGAGGACCTCGAGGCGCTGGCAGAGGCCGCAGAGCATCTGGGCGTACATGCTCTGGTAGGAGTCCGGGCAGAGGATGGCCTCGTTGGGGGAGGTGTAGTTGGTGTAAGGGTCGTAGGGCCGATTTTTGAAGTGGGAGGATTTGTAGTAGCTGGTGAGGACGGGGCGAGCCGGGAGGCCGCCGGGGGTTTTGGTCTCGCATTTGATGAAGAGGAAGTACATGCCTTTGCCCTTGTCGAGCCCAGGGACCGACTGGCTCATCACCGGCATCAGCAGGCTGTAGAGAAGGGACCTCCGACCCATCTCCTCTTCGATCGTCGGCATCATCTTCCGTTCACCGGCAGATGTCCCCGAACTGCATACATCACCACAACCATATACAAACAACATCAGAAAAAAAATAATAAAAAACAAATCTATCTCGGAGGAAGAAAGACACAAAAACACAAAAAAAAAAAA